CGGCACAAAACTTCTGTCCTCTTTTTGTCCTTCACATTTTTGGTTTAGTGCGATAAGAATGAGCCACGTTTCCTAGGATGAGTAAGATTTTACAATGTAATGGCACATTTTGTCAAGTGAAAAATTCTTGCATAATGAACATGTCTCTGTAACCATGCTTGACAACATAAGCATGTCTTGTGCTATTGCCAAATCCATGATTACATTATTGCACATTGTCTGCTTTAGCATGCATGTAAAGTTGCTTTTCCCTGTTTACACCCCAGGATGCATTCATTCTCTGATGTAAACTTGAGTGGAAAATACAGGAGAGCACTTGAGGTGTCATTTAACGTCTGGTCTCTACTGATACCAAGAGAGAACAGTAATCTGCACAGCACTGATTTAAAGGCAGAATGGTGTTATTTTTCTCCATCTCTACAGTGATACTATTAAGGTCATAGGAGGTAGAGGTCATTCGCTATTGTATTTGTCTGCCTTTGATTCCTGGTTTCTATCTGAGGATTAGCTTTTCTAGTACACAGATTATGGGTTGTATATCAGAGTCATATATCTTCCAGCTCTATATAGTGTCCTTCTATCTCTCTAAATGTGGCTTGGTGAGAGTAACATTTGGAAAATGACCACAACCAACAATTTGTCAAGCTGTGCTGACTGGTGTGCTCAATTCACTTTCTTCTTCTCTACGATAGCAGAATTACAGTTGAGTGTTCGCTGACCTAATCCAATAGAGGCTCCATACGGACAGAGTAATGTGATTTCCCAGGCTTTTATTCTGTGTCTGCTGCTGGATAGAGAGGGGCCCTGAAGAGATGGCATCTGAATTGGGGATGGCTGTCTAAGAGAGGCAGCCATTGAGCGAGAGGGGGGAGGACATTATGTATGTGATAGGGACAGCAGCAAGTACCAGCCTTGATATGAGTATAGGGGAGAAGGAAAAGGACACAACAGGGTCAAGTGGTTCTAATAAGGCTCACAGTGAAGCATCATTGAACCTCTGCTATTGACTATGGTAGTGTATTGACCTGTTTTTTTCTCTGCAGGTCACCTCAGGTTAGAAGTCTATAGGGTGACCTGCTAATGTATCCAGTATGCTAATAAGCAATGCTGATCTTGAGATTTGTATCCGTGGCCGACTTTTGTAAATGTCAGTGAAAGTGGTCCCTTGTGGGCCAAAAACATGAAACTACTTGAATCAATCATTTCTTTTCTTTTTTTATTATATACATGACACAAGGGAAAAGACACATGACATGAAACTGACAGTGTAAGTCAATCACATGATGAACAGATCATGTTTATTTGTGATTCTAAGCTTCATTAATCAATATTTTTAATAGTGTTTTAATGTTATACTGGTAAATAGTGCCTGTAACAAACTTGATTAGCAAGGGTATGTCTAGGCTTGGTTGCTTTTTATTTACCTTGGGTGGTCAAACATTTTTTGTTGTTTTTGTTTTTAATCCACTTCTAACATGAAATAATATTTCATCATAATAATTAGATTGACCAAAATTAAGGTCACAGGTCATTGATTCATGACCACCAGAACATTTCTTAAATTATTTTTTTGCCTTTAATTTGGTAGTGCAGCCAAAGATAGGCAGGAAAGGGGAAGCGAGAGAGAGGCATGCAGCGAAGGGCTGTAGGCTGGACTTGAACCTGGGCCACTGCGGCAAGGACTCAGCCTTGGTACACGGGGTACATGCTTCACCAGGTGAATTACAGAAGTGCCCTGAAATACACAAATTTACCCCAAAGCTCTGGATAATATTTTGGTACAGATCAATTATTTAGCCTGAATATTTCAAGAGCATACTGGAGCATAGTTTGCAGCTATTTGACAGAAATGTGCTATTATAAATAAAAGTGCATCCGCTCTGATCTTGAATCAGTTAGTTGTAGCCTGGGGCTCCAGGTCTCTGAATTCCTGCCTGCATTTAAAATATCATTGTGCTTCAGAACTCTGTTGTTGCTCATATGACTCCCCCATCCCAGTTGGAGATACCACTGAGCGAGTCAGTGCTTTTATAGGTAGGACCAAGGTTAGGAAGTCTGTCGAACTGGTGCCATAATCCAAACAAATATAGCACCAAGCATAGATAGAAAAGGTGCCGATTGAAACTGACCAAAAACAGCTCTTAAATGAGAACACTGCCATGCGTTGAAGGCATTTCTTTAAAAGAAATTAGTTTTTGCCCACTTTCCCCAAGTGATTTAGAAAGTTTATAAATTGGCCCTCTGGTACACAGGGAATTATAAGGTGTGATATCAGGAAATACTTATTGTTTCTCCCTTGATGGCCTTAATGAGGAGCACGTTAAAGAAGCTGAGAGGCTTGGCTTTACAGCCACAGAGCTCGGTGTGCACTGTAACAAGAAAATAATCAGTAGTGAAATGAAAATTGCTCTACATGCTAGAAAAACATCACCTTACATCAATGAATATGATAAACTTGAAGCTTCAATCAAGTACTGGCACAGCTTGAGTGTCAGCTGAAAACTACATCAAGAGAACTGATACATTAGTCTAAGTGATTAGTGAAGGCAAAATACCCCCTCCCAAACAGAAAATGACTAATAAGAAGCGAATGTGAGAAATAATAACAAAATGGCAATTCAGTCAGAACATCAGGCTATGTTGGTCGTGCTTTTTTTTGCCTTTGTCATTGTAGCTGCAACTCAGGATGGAAAACAAATTGTGACCTCAAATTCTAGTTGGTGTAAATAGTATTGGTCTTTGAGAGGTAATTTTAGAAGGCAATCAATACGAATGATTTTTTCAGTAGCACTGATGAAGTTTGGAATAGTACAGCACCTGACATTTGAGCAGAGGTCTAAATTATGTATTCACCAGGAATGGAACACAGCCGGGGGTTGTGTTTCATTGTTATAGTGGGAACAGAAATAAATCTCTGCATTTGTATATTGATACCCCACCTTTAAAGTTTTCCTTCTAAAAGTTGGACCCATGCATATGTGTTAAATTTATCCTCTGAGTCAATGTTTCATCTAATAGGTCATTTTCCCTCCCCTGTCGGGTAATCTGTTGCTGGCTGTGATTCCATCTCTACTCTCAATCACAGACATGCCCTGAAGGCACTGTAACATCCACGCTGCCTGTTTAAAGCAGGGTCATAAAGAACCTTGCCTGCATCAATATTCCCATATCAGCCCTCTCTGTTGTGCTACAAACCACACTCTGGCAGCCAGAGAAGCATCTGATTGAGCTTGTGTAATCGCTCTGCTAGCCAACACCCCTGTGCTTTCAGGATCTAAAGGCCTCTTAAATTTTTTTTTACTGTACCTGAGAAAGCAAAGGGGTAATATGCTCATCACTGTGATATGCTGTGGCATACAGTGTGCATATGCATTTGTGTACGTGTACCTTTATGCATGCGGATGCACCGTATATTCTAATCTTAGACAGAGTGTAATCCTTGACCCCGGGATTGTAATGAAGTTTGCTGTAAGGCTAGCTGAGCATGGCTTTATATGCTAATGGTTATTGTAACTCTGCATCTAGATTCATTATTAGAGTGCAGACTGAATGAAATAAGCTGACAGGTTTCTGTGTAGATTGTTACTACTGAATTTTTTCTGCAGCTGTATGAATAAATTATTCCAATTTATTTAGGGCAAACTTGGTTCATAGACAAGTTGAGCCAAAAATACAAGACTGGCTGCATAATAATCTACCAGCAACAGTCACTTGGGAAATACTGTCTTATTCCTTGACAAACACACACTAATGGTAAACATACACAGGTAGTGAAGAATAACTGTGTCTTTTATAAACAGAAGCTTTAATTAGACTTTTGCAGTAGTTCTTTATTGCAGTTATGGATTTGCTTATTTGTTGAGCATTGTTGTTCGGCTAGTGTAATTAGAAACGAAGTCACCCATTGATTTGTGGAGTACTGTTTTGAAGCCTCGAGTCTGGCATTATGGTCATCGCCATGACAGTTAGACGGAGCCAGCAAGGTGACGTACTGTGAGTTGAGTTGCTGTCATTGCCTGCGTAGTTTCAACTTATTTTAGCAGGAAACAATGGCGGCTGGCCTGGTCACACACAATCTTGTATTACAGCTAAACAGTCTCCTTAAATTATGTTTCTAAAAACAATTTTAGGTGAGAAATAGGCAACGCAGTAACATAATCTTTAACATAGGATGCAGGTTTAAGACTTCCATGTTGGCTTCACTTTACAGACCCAGAAGTTCTGTCCAATATATATACTTTCAATGTTAGAAACAGACAATTTGATAAAACAGCCATTCTCAACATTTTTCTTTAATTTGATTAAATAACTTCTCTATGAAAACATAACATCTGAGCATTCAGTTCTCTTAAAACAGCATTTGTTATTATTTTCATTGCATTGAATGTATGCTCTCCCTGTCACAGTCCCTGTCCCACCATAATGTCGTACTCAATTCATCAAACCAAAATAAGGCAGCTGTAGATTTTCCATTTGGCTCAAAGACGTGACTGTTAAAAAGAAACAGACTAGGCTTTGATTACATCTGGTTTATGTCAAACGAGGTGATGAGAACCACGGTGTTCTGTTGTGTCTGTGGAATGCAAGTGTTCTTCTTAAACTGTGAAAGCAGTGATTGTGAACAGTACCCCCATAGCTTTTTTAGCTATAGCAACATAACATAACATACAATACTTTGCTACTTCCTTTCCGTTCCTCTTTCTTCATGTTTGACCTGTCTGTCTTTCTTGTTTTGTTTCACCCCCATACCTATAGTCTCATTTCAGTCTGAGGGCCTTCCCTCAGAGGGCTCCCTAGCAATAAGGTCAGTGGTCACTGGGGATTGCAGGGTCTGGTGTCGGAGCAAGTGGCATTGTGATAAATGGGAGTAATCTCACAGTTGTTACAGAATCAGAATCACAAACACTTTACTTGGGGGAAGGGGGAAATAGGAAGCCTTTTTCTATGTTGAGTGAACACAAAATTTATTATAAATATACATATACATAACAATTCCTACATCTCTCTATTTATATACCTTGTTTACCCTAAGCTGTACATGTATTATGTATGTACACAATGTACTGTATGTTGCTACTGTTACAAAAAGCCATGCAATATCTACAGTACAGTATATGATGTATCTATGAAACCTACTTTTTTTCTCAATAAATAGTAATAAATTATCCACTTTTTGTTTTTGTACATTCTATTGCACATATTATTTACATTACTGCTTTGGATTAACATTTTCCCTTTTTCATCACGACCTGATGTCAGTTGTAGCTGCTTTTATTGACTGTATACCCTAAAGATAATGAGTTTCGTCACTCCACATCTTCAGATGACAGACATTTCTGTTGGGCGTCTTTGTCCTCAAATGTCACCTTTTTGTTCCTCTTTGGGTCGATCCAGGAGTTGTGGATAATGGCATTATTGGGGGTAGGATCTGCCTCAATGATCGACACCACTCGCTTCTTCATCTTGCTTTTCAAGACTTTCTGGAACTTCTGCCTAGTGAAGGCATAGAGTAGAGGGTGAAAGATAGTGGTCCCATAAGCCATAACCAGGAAGCCCAGTCTCAACTTGACCATTAGGTCACTGGGGCCCACACTCAGAATGACTGTATTGAGTACTGTGATGGGTGTCCAGCACAGCAGGAAGGTAGACACAATCAGAAGGGACATCCTGAAAACCCTCTTTTGGCGCTCTCGCCTTTCTCTGTGGCGTTTAACAGCCCTGCGCAAGGCGATGATGACAGAGACAGAGGTACGCATACCCAATGTCGGGTTGCGACTGCCACTGCTCTGGGATCCATCTGTGGCTTCTTGTTGCGTTGTCATGGCCGTCATGGATGGGCGCTTTTTCCTGCGAGCCTTCTTCTTTTGTGAAGCATGGAAACGTGTGCCAATGCGAATATTGAGCGCCTGCAGGATCTTTGAGTAGGTTATGAGCATGACAACGGCAGTAAAGAAGAAAATAGGAATCTGAGCAATCAAGTGGTAATAGAGGCCAAGTTCTGTGTAGTACTGGTTAGTGTGGACGACATTCTCTACCAACGTCTGGTTCAGCTCAGCATGGCCCTGGGCGAAGAAGCCTACCTCAATAAAGGGTACGAGGAAACTAACAAAGGATAGCACCCAAATGGCTGCCAGCAGGGCCAGGGCACGCCCCATGGTCAGCACCCGGTTAGCTGGTTTGACTGAGATGTCGTAGCGATCAAGGGTGATGGCCAGCACATTAGCGGCAGTGGCAACACTAGCGAAGGAGACACAGGCTTCATGGAAGCAGCAGACGAGAGCAGTGTCTCCCTCCAGGGAAAGCAGCACCACCACAATGGTGAGAGGGATACAGCACACACAAACCAGGACGTCCAGTACATGAAGGTTCATAGTGACAATGTTACTGACAGAGCTAATGAGGTTCGACTTCATACAGTAGAGGGCAAGAACAGTGAGGTTAGAGCTCATGCCCAGGAGGATTTCCAGCATGAGGAAGCCAGTCAGGGAGACCTGGAAACTAACAGGATAGGGATACGGGCTGGGGGTTGCCGGACTCATGGTGCGGCTGATGGGTTCAGTGTTGTCGGTGACCGTGACGTTGCTCATGGTGGCTTCTTGTTCCAGGGTGGAAAGGATATGCATTATCCTGTGTGTAGGAAGAAGAGAAGAAGAGAATTCATGAAAAGGAAAAGAAGGGTTTGTGCATCTCTAGAAGGCTGTTATTAATACACATCTGAGAAATCTTGTCAGACTTAATGTTGCCAGTTATCAAATAACGAGGAAGCCTATTAAGTTTAAATGAAAAAAATCTAAGAAAAGACACATGAATAGTGCTGGAAAGTTTTTCCTGTTATGCTCTGCTGATTATATGGTCTTACTATATGAATGGCAGGAGTAACCACTAACTATTATCATTTTCTATTTTTGTTATCGTCATCAGTTGCATCCATGGTGGAGGCACATAACAGAAACACTTTGGAACAAATTAAATTCTAATAACATCATCGCTGTAATGGCTTGGTATGCTTTGGCTTTGTACTAGCTTAGTTCACCATCCTCCGTTGAACAGAATATTCAAGTAGACCACAGTACTATGATCAACATTTTTCACCATTTTATGACATTTTATGAACTAAACAACTGATTGATTTACCTGAAAATGATCAACAGATTAATCGATAATTAAATTAATAATAATAGGTTGGCCTTGGTAACTAAAATTGTAATTTCTAGCAACATTTTAGTCATTTCCAAATTACAGGAGGTTGTTCACTGCCAGAATATTCTGCCAGTATGTTTACCTTGTCACCTGTTTGTTCAGGTCTTAAATAATTGAAGGACTAGCAAGTGCACCAAAAACAATTTGTATTTGGGACTGTAATTAATATTGGGTTAGTGGGAGAAAAATCTAATACTCATGCACTCCAGAATAAATTAAAATACTATTAAAAACTGATTAGCACATGCAATATTAAAGTCATCCAACCTCCTAGAGAAATAAATCCAACCTGAACAGGGTTCTAGACATGGAGAACAATAAACGTTATTTTGTAATATTTACCCTTCCCTCCAGCACTATCTGAATACCAGGGCTGTGTAATCAGGCCATAGAGTCTATGTTACATCCACAGAGACAAGCATCACATCCAAACATAGCCAGTGGAAAAGTGTTTCCGCTCCAGCAGAGCCCCCCAGCGAGGCTTTTCCTTTCACTGCTAGTCCCTCCCAGAGAGGCTGACAGCCAGAAAAGCACCTGTTCGTCTCGCCAAAGACTGTCTATGGGCTGCCAGCTTTTTTTCCTGACCTCAATGGCAAGAAAGCTAAGGAATCAGCCACCTACACCCAATGGATGTTAGAAAACATAGGCTAATGTCCTCTACAGACTTTTTCTCAGATCTCTGGTCCATTTGCTTTGGTGATGCTGGGAGCACTGATGGATGAGTGGAACAGGGATAAAATGTCGGAGCCACCTCCTGTTTATAATCTCATGATATTCCCAGGCAGGAGAGACACAGCCAACCAAGAAAACAAAGAAACACAGACTCTTTTCCCTGAGCAGGGCTGGAATGTACTGCTCATAGTATGATCCAAATCCTTGCTTTTTGCTTTTTTTGTCCCCGGTGAGAAGAGAGTAGTCAGATCTGTAAATAGAAAAAATAGTTACATCCATTAGCTTGTACTCCAAGACGCAGAGTTTGTCAGTCAGTCATGTAGATTCCCCAGTTTACACCATAGTAATGTCCAAAATCTGTCCAGGAGAGGTCAGTGCGTCCGGGCAGCATCCAGGCCCATGTCTCCCCTGGGAGCACTAATGGAACAGGCCTTCACTCTGCACCTCACTCATCAGTCTCTGTACGCCTGGCTCCAGCCGCCATTGACTTGTATATCGAGCACAGGTCTCCAGTTTGCCCCTCGACATGCTGAACCCTCAATCACTGGAGATAGCGTGTGTAGAGCAGATTATTAGAGTGCATGTGTGTCCAATCACCATGACATGTGACATTTGTGATCACCAGTATTTATATGTGCATGGGAGGGGGGTTGATTCAACGATTCAGGAGAAGGTCATCCTCATGAGGTAGTGTAAGTGAGTTCATCAGACAGAGAGCCTGCCGTGTAGATTTGCAAGAAAGATCCTAGGCAAGAATTGGACTTTAGGAAGGAGGAGCATGGGCATGAGCTGCATCTTTCTGTCCTTTAGTCCCACATCATTCTTTCACAGTGACCTGAAGAGAGAGAAAGGATAAAGTAATGGATAATTGAAAGAGAGAGATTGGGAGAGAGACAGTAGAAGAAATAGGAGAGAGAAGTGTGGGGGATGCGTTAGTGAAAATAAACATATCCTCAGTAGAGAGGTGACGAGGAAACTGTCATTAGCATAGCAACAAGCCTGTGATGTCTTATCATGTTCCTGTGCATCACCTGATGCACTTTACATCTTTGCTAATGCATTAACATAACAGTAGCACTAATAAAGGACTTGTACAAAAGCAACTGGTATTGCATCCCAGCCTCCTGTTTTCAGATTGAAGATTAACTATAGTAATATTTTGCCATTGTTGTGTATAATAAAAATGAAAAATGAAAAAAATCTTAGTGTAAATTATTGTATGTCACTTGAACAGTCATAGCTGTGATTATATTATCATACAATTTTTATGATAGGACAGACTTTCTTGGAGCTTTAGCGCAGTGTGATTCCTTGGGGAACTTGTCATAAAGACATAAATGCTCCCTCACGTGTCACTATATGTGATCCATGTAATCTCTTCAGTGGAACATGTCGGGCATTCTTCAAGGTTGTTTCAGCGAGGAATGCCATACTTTACTATGCCACAATGTCAGCAGAAATGAGCAATGAGTCCCATGCTCTTACCAGGCAAAAGAAAGGATCATGCATGTTATAAAGATGCCCAGTTTTAAAGTGTACAGTTGCTTATCAAGTTTTTTGTTATAGAGCCTGACAGCTCGGATTATGATGTGTGTGCGTGTTTAGCAGTAAGACCCAAACAAACACAGTATGGGAATACAGACTTCCTAATGCATAAACAAATTATGAAAAGCCTTTTAGAGTGTGATGTTTACAGCAGCAGGCAGCTGCTTGGAATTACAAGTTAAAGACTCAATTTACGTAATTTAATAATTACGTATTATATCAGTTACAAGTAGGTTTCACTTATATTTCTAAATAAAGGTCTTACAATAATACAAGTTATTCAGGAATTTATGTTGCTGATGGTTTCTAATCCCATGCATTTGTTGAGATGTTTGGCATTGAGTTTTATTTGTTTTCACATACACTCTCCTTGGCTGAGTGCTGTAAATCAAACCAATAAGTACAGTGCCCCATAAAAACACAGCAAAGCTCACCATGCAGGATAAACACAGATGCTCCGGAGCTGGTCCATACACCACGCTGTCCCCTCTCCTTACTGCTCTGCAACAATCTACGTAGGTCGACTGATAGAAACTGCTGGTTTATCTTCTGTTCCTCCCAGCAGTAATCCAAGAAGTGGGATTGAATATTGATGAACACACAAGGGTCACAGAACTGACAGATGTTCTTTCCTTCCTGAGTCCCAGACAGAGAAAAACAAGTCCACTGAGATTAGTCCTGAGAGGGATGTTGGTCTTCTTTTTCTCTCTTTGTCCCCCCTTTTTCTTTTATCCATCCATATGGACTGATTTGTAAATACTCATCATCTCACTAACTCTCTGTTGCACTCCCTCCCTCCCTAACTGCCTGGATAGGAGTGCAAACCATCACACTCCTGGTATCTATCTCCTGCTCTGCTCTCTCTCTCCCTCACTCCCTTGTTCCCTCTCTCTCTCTCTTACTGCGGAGGTTTGCAGTGCTCCCCCAATCCTGATTGGTCCTCTGTAATAGGCTTAACCCATTCCTCTCCAGCAAGGGGAGGTATTTCCTTTTGTTCTGACTCTATCCTCTCTTCCCTGACAGTGACTGTAACATCCCGTGTGGGGCTGTAGTGATTTGGAAAAAAGCTTCTACTACGCTTTTGCACAGGGAGTTTAGATGCCACTGCGCTAAACCCACAACCTGCTGCAGAGTCGGCTAGGCAGACTGTTGAAGGAAAAAGCAGCAGAAAATTCTGTGATGATGTGTTAATTAGCTCTGTCACGATGTAATGAACAAGTAATGTTTGTGCACCGTAGGGGGAATGATGGGGATGGAAAGCCAGCAGGGAGAAGCAATATTTTTTGTATTGATCTTGCGCACATATTGTACATAGATCTTAATATGCGAGTGCAAGTGAGCATGAGAGGCAGCGTGTGACAGAGAGGAGATAAATTCTTGCAGCTGTGAGTGGGAGAAATGGATTATGCAGGAAAGAATAAAAGTCAGAAAAGAAGAGATAAAGGATAGTGGCTCTGATTGATAGTTTCAATTAAGTTGCTCTGTCAGATCAGTAAGAGGTTGACCACCCTCCATTCTTTTGTCAAGGCTCATTTGTCAGGTGCAATTATTGCCAGAGGGCATCCTGGTACCTGACAGCCTCCAGTAAAGAAAAAGGGGGCATCAGTTGCTATGGCTTGGCTACCTGAAAAACCAACGATTAAAGCCCACAGAAAATACTTCAGGTGTTGTTGTTCCGATGGTGACAGTTTAATAATTGCACTTCGCCAGGCAGATGTTTCACTTAGTTTTCAAGACATTTAAAGTTGACTTGATGCACAGCAGATAAAATGTCTAGACAGGGTTGTAAGCTATTTCCTTGGTAGTAAGGAAACAATTTGTGAATAAATCAATTAGTTGACAAATTAGATATATCATTGAAGTTATTTTTCAAGTCAAAATGCCACTAGATCTATTTTCTCAAATGTGAGAATATGCTTCTTTTCTTAATTTTATGTTATTGTAAATTCAACAGCTCTGATGTTTGGAGTGTTGGTGTCAATCAGGAATCGAGAAAGATATTTTTAACAATTTCCTGACATTTTCTTGGCTAAACATTGATGATTAATTAAAACTGATTAATCAAACAAAATTTAACACATTAATTAAGCATTGCAGCCCTTGCATGACAAGCTCTGTAGTCACAACTTGCTGAGTTACTTTCTCGGTACTGTACCAATGGCAACCATTTAATTTGAACAAATTGAAGGTCAAAGCGAAAACTGTCTGGTATTATTAAGGGCATTCGATACCCCTGTTCATATAGAGATACACGTTTCCCTTCCACTTGACATACAAAACTACCACTTATTGGAGGATTAAGATGAGCAAAAACTTGCATGTTTTTAAGCCAGTCATCAACTCTAATTCTCACTTGATCGTCACATTGCATGATATGGGGCTTGGCACGTGTCTCGAGAGGAAGTATATGTGTGTGAAAGGAGGAAAGATGTGAAGTTTGACAGATGGAGGGGAGGAAACGCTTTTATTTGTGGTGTTTGGTGCATAGCTGTTAGGTAGTGTGTGCAGGAACATGTGCATGTGTGTGCTTAGGATGCCATTTCTGTGATCCATCTGTACGGCTCTGGCTGTCAGACTATAATTACACAGCACATCAATGCAAAACAGCTTCTCCGTCACTGCTTGCAACTCAAGGCACTGTACATTTTATAAGAAGCATCTTAAAGAGAGTGGAAATTGGACCGACCACTTGACAGCCCTCTCATGGTTCTTCGGGAATCCTCCTAGTTTAAAGAGTGGTAAACATGCTGCTGCAAAAACACTGCATTCCCAAAACTTTAGAGTTCAATAGAAGAATGACGTTAATATTTCATTCCCATTAATATTTTATCCAGCTTTTCTCTCTGTCCCCAGACTCCGCTGTCTGATATTCACTACAGTTTTTCTCCCCTTTCAATCTGAGTGCCATGTATAGCTATATGCATGTGCCTGTCAATACTCATGTGTGTTCACATCCTTAGTGTGTACAGTACAATGTGTGGGGTGTTAAAAGGACCCTCTCTGGTCTGAGCTATTTAGATGGAGAAGATGCAGATGTGCCGTCAGTGCTCGTCTTACTTCAGGTCTATGCTTTGCATGCTATCGGGCAATAGTAGGATGGAAGCCGGCAGGCCCAGAGGACCCAGTGCACAGACTTTTATCTCCTCCCTGCAGCAGGCATCCTCCACTTCCATTAGGTGCCACTGTGATTTGCTCCAGATTGCTCCAGTACAGAGTTAGGCTGCAGTGGCTGGTTTTAAATGTTGTGGCGGTCTGCTGTCGTCTGATTTATTTAAACTGCCCTTTTTCCCAAACCCTGAGGAGCTCCTAGGCCAACCTAATGTGGTCCTGTGCGATCATACAAAATGGACAAAAACAAATGTCTTTTGAGCTGCTCTTATTTTTGCTCTCAACTTTTTTGAAGAAAATATAGTTTTCTTCTAATATTAGCGATTTCATCCACAGTGAATATAACCCTAAAAAGGGTGTTGTCCAAGAAGAAGACTGAGAAGATGGAGAGAAAAGAGAAGACCACATTTCAAAGTTCTCTGATTTTTGCCTGAGGTTTCACCACAGGGCACTCTGCTTTGGCCTCAGTCCCAGGGTCTCTTTGGATTCATGCGCAGTTGGTAAAAGATGAAAGTGCCTGAATCAAGCAAGAAGAAGAAATGAAAAGCCTATCATCACCTCCTCCTACGTTAAACACTCGAGATTGATAAGCAGCAGCTGAAGATAAAATTTAACCTCAGTTCTAGAGGAAATGTTAATGTATCCTCTTCTATCCCAGTACCGGTCCATTAGTGCTGAAGTGGCTTAATTTGTACATGACATTTAGTGCAGTATGTTGTGTAAGCGTTTTTGGTACCACTGGTAAAATACAATTAAAAAAACATCAAGTGAATTTGGTTACACAATAGATCACAGGCCTCAAATTATTGTGTAATTATTTTTTAATTATGGAGCACAAAACAGGAAAAGAAAGGAATAAACGTGTAAAGATTTGTGATGAACAAATATTATATAGTAAAAATTGTTGAGGACCATAGGTATAATTATTTTTAAATGTTATTTTGCCTTCTTACACCTAATTTCACTGCTCTGATTGTTGGAACATTGACCCCTCTTGGCATGGAGTGTCTTCAACACAACTATAAACACAACTGTAAGAGGAATGATGTTGTTAGTTTAGGTGGCCCATCCTTACCTATCATCTACGTACATCCTGCAAGAGGGATGAAAGATGGCAAGCTATAATTTGCTTCATGTCCATGTCTGCCATGGCTCTTGGAAGCAAAAATATTGTGTTCCTGGAAAATCCTTACTACTATTCTTGTAGGGATTTAATTTTATGGTTGTCAGAAGTGTGTTTGTTGAGGCCTAATGAATTTGTGAAAGTTTAAACGGAAATATTCACCAGAAAATAAGAATACATTATATTTCTCATTTTAAAGAGTTCCTTTACCTCATCTTGCCCTGCCAGCTAATGGTGACAACATGGTTCTTCCACACCCTGTTGTCCAATGATGTGCCATGGCACTATACTATCAAGCTACATTGCAGCTGGGTTGGGTGTCAAGTAGAACAGAGCACATCTGATAACATCCAGCTGTAATGTCGGGTGTGGTTAGAGGTGCAACAGACTTGTAGAGTTTTTCCATACATATGTACTAGCTTGGCTCAACTCGGTTTGACTAGACGCACAAGCCCAGCGAGGCAGGGATTTGCCTCTCTATTACCACAGTGCTACACAGGCAGAGAAAGCTGCAATGGTCGAGACAGCTCAAAATTGAATGGAAAGAGTAGGCCCAGCACTTTGTTGAAAGAAAAACCTCTAACCAAGCTCTGCTTCGCTGATAAACACATTTAGTTTCCTATAAATTCTTCACAATAAAAGTTATTTTGTTGTTTAAACACTTTTATTATGAAGCAGCAAAATCGGGAAGTGTTGGGTTTTCATCAGCAGTAACTCAACATGACTCCTATACAGCTGAAAGCAAACATGAAACAATAAAATAGCAGATATCTGAAAATACAAACAGAGACACAGGAGAGAAACCAACTTCAAACCACAGAGATTCAGTTAGAAGGCACACAAGTGCTAAGAGCTTAAGACTTTTAAAAACGTTTGTCCCTGTGGTTTTCTATTCAGACATGAGTTGAGTCTCAGAACACACGTTTTTTAAGGGGGAGATGGAGGGATGTCATCCATGGTCGTCACTGATTGGCCGCGTTGGAGGCGGGTTGGGCACGCTCTAGGTCTACTCCGGAGAAAGTCCGTGTTGGGCGTGAGATATTTTCTCTTATACTTTTTTAATCAAACTATAGAATCTTTAACTCTAACTCTAACTCTTTATTTCTGAGGTAGAGTATAAACTGTGCAAAACACTGCATATTTCCTTTTCTCCGTGAAAGTGAAACTGATGTTTTGGCACCTTGATACAGCTACTGGCGCAAGTGAGGTGACTAGATGCCCCCATCTGCTGTTTAAAGGGAGTATGACTTCATTCATTTTTTATCTTACCGAGTTTAATCTTCACATATTTTTGCGATGTAACTGTCCCACAATATATCTTTATATTCCTAACAATATTACTCAAATGTTGATTATATTGGGTGCCAAAGTTGTGTAATCTTTCTTTGCCTCTCTAGCCTGTCTCCGTCTCTCTCTCGTACTCAATCAGTCATCCTTTCGTCTGTTCCACTATTGATTTACAGTCCAAGTGGCATTGTGGGTCAGTAAGGTTAGAGCCATGAAGCTGGACTAGGTGAAGTCAGCTGTTTAACCCTGACAGTGGGGTTAGAGATTGTCCATGCAGTCTCTTCAACCCCCAACA